CTCTGTTTAGTCTCTTGCCTTGACTGGTATATTCATTCTGTTGGAGTTGTAGTGCTTGTACTTCTTTTTTGACTGTTTTTCAGAACCTTTCAGAGTATTGGTTTGGAGGTCTGAAATATCTTCAGGTGTTCTTTGGAAGCAGCTTATTTCTCCATCAATTTTGAAATATAGTTTTGTAGGGTACATCAATATAGATTGGAGGTTATTTTCTTTTAGGGCCTGAAATACTTCACTCAAAGCTCCCCTTGACTTGAGGGTTTATGTCAAGAAGTCGGTTGTGATTCTAATGGGCTTTCCTTTATAGGTGATTTGTTTCTTTCCTCTCTCTCTCTCTCTCTCTCATCTTTTTGCTATGCACTTCAGGTTGGCCTTCAACTCACTTTGTAGGCCAGGCTGGCTGCAAACTCGCAGTGATCCTCCTGCCTCAACGTCCTGAGTGCTGGGATTACAGGCATGTGCCACCATGCCTGGCTGTTTCTTTTATTGTTCTTGTGTTGAATTTCTGGAATCTTGACTGTTATATACCTTGGTGTAGATACTTTTTGGTCATGGCTAATTTGAGTTATGTCACTAATCTGTTATGTCAAATTATTTTTTCCCTTCTTGGGAAGTTTTCTGCCGTTATTTCTGTAAACAGGTTTTTTATGTCATTTGTGCTACCTCCTATTCTTTCACTGACTACAATCAATCTTACATTATTCTTCTTTGTATCATCTAACAGCTGTTGGATTGATTTATTGTGATCCCTTGTTATTTTCAAGAAATCTTTATTTTCATAATCACTTACCATAATCTTGTCTTCTCTATCTGATATTCTGCCCTCATATTGACTCATTCTTCTGTGTATACTTTCAATGGAATTTTTAATCTGCATAGCTGTTTGAATCTGTTTCATGGATTCCATTTCTTTCCTATGTTGCGTTCATTTTCCTAAACTCCTCTATTTTTTTATCTCTATCTGCTCTATCCTGTAGTTATCTGAGAAATTATTTCTGATTTTATTTTTCCTAGAGCCTTATTCATCCGCTTTGCTACTTCTACTTCACTTCAGAGAGTCCAGATGGGTAGCATTGGGATTATCACACCTCAATGCCTCCTAGCTTTGTCTTTGGTGAGTTGGAAGTCTAGGGTTGTATTTCGCTTAAGTGTCTTCTCATTTTCCATTATTTTTTAGTTTAATTCCTGGGTTGATGCTTGTAAATTGTTTATGGCAGGTAGATTTGTTGCTAGTATTTAGAACCCTTAGGAAATGACTCCTTCTCAGAGATGTCCTTCAGGTGTAGCTTGCTTTTGGATTTTGAGTGTGTTGCAAGATCCTACCTCTTCAATTTATTTGGGATGACAATTTGCTGCCCATTTGGCCTAGCCCCTGGTTCTTTGGCACTGGCTCTTAGGCAATCTCAGTCTTGGCACACCAGAAAAAACAACTGATTAGGATAGTTATGTCACCTTGGTTAAAGTACTACAATTATTAACAAGAATAGCATCAAGCACAGCCTAGAAAATGACAAACTGTGGTAACTATTGATTTGCTACCTTTAACCATAGGAACTAAATTTGCAGTTATATAACAGAATCTAAAGCAAAC